TATCGATGGCGAAAAAGTAGACACGAAAACCACGCACCATGCCAAAGAAAATTCGATAACTTTCCATTTTTAACTTTTTTATACACTTCGCATCTTCAGTTATGCTTAGATTACTACGAATGATATTTTAACCAAAACGAAATAATTTTTATTTGTCCATTAATAAACGGAGAAAAGTAATTTATACTAATTTTCAACTTGTGAATGTGACATTACAAGTAAAGTGGCATATTTCAGAAGTATAATATTTTTTATTTATAAATTTAATATTTATAAATAATATTTAAAAATAAGATAGCTTTTAATGCGTATTGATAAATTAATATAGGCTATTACGTATTTACAAGTACAGTAATGTGTCCTTATTAATATGAAAAAATCGGATGCAAAAAAATCCTTGTACTAAAAAGGAAACTAATGTTTATAAAACGTTTTACATATAAAAGAATAAAAGAAAGATACTTTGCAGTCTGTCAAAATTCAAAGTAAGGACTTGATTTGTGTATATATATAGTTGTAGTAAGAAATCTAATAAAAAATATTAAACATAACTATTCTATCACTCATTACATTAGATAAAATAACGTATGGCTACCTTACAATAATATAACAAAGACAAAAATAAAATAATAATATTTATAAAACTCAACAAAAAAAATTTGTCTAAAAAGTTTACTATTTGAATGTATTAGTATAATAAAATAATTGATATTGTTTTAATTAACTATCAGAATAAATAAGTTTATATTATTTATTACATAATAATAATAAATAATTAAATATTTTAATTACATATTGCTTATAATTTAGATTTTAAAAATATATTAATTGCGAAATGATTTTCTGAATTAAACACCTATTAATATGCAGCAATAATAATATTAAATACGATTTGTCTACAGAATAATATAAAAGGTATATTTGATAGAATTCTAATATTTATTCTCAATTAAAATTTTACATGATTACGTATTAAAAATAAATTTAGTAAGCATAATAATTTTTTATTAACTAATAAATAAGTTTTTATCTCATTATAAAATTATTTATTATTAATTTGTACACATAAAATGGACAAATAATTTGTGTTATCTTAATACATAGTGATTAAAAAAATGTTTATATCATTAATCATTGTTATAATAAATTACCCATTGCTAAAAATAATTATCAATTATTAGTTTGCGAATAAAATATATAAAAAGTTTTTAAAAAAAGATTGAATTGTATATTAATATAATATTAATGTTATATAATTTTATACATTTATTTAGTGTTATATTTCAAAAAATCACAAAAATATAATTATTTAATGATCTTTTATAGTATATTTTTATATGTTTATAGCATTGTGCAAAAATTAGAAAATTATTAAATAAAAAAAATTGATAATAAATAGATAAGATTCTAATATATTAATTCACATATCATTTCATAGAACATATATAAATTTAATTGTTTTGCGAATGATATTAAAACGAAATTAAATGCGAATTTCAAGAATAATATTTTTACTCGTGATATCTAGGAAGAGAGAGAACAGAATCGTCGAAGGTAGATCGAATTCTGTTTCAGAAACAGGAGACGCACGTGCCCGCATCCTTAAATACGAGAAGACACGCAAGACGACTACACAAGCGATTCGCAAAGGGATCTCAAGATAAATGCACACTATAGTCATTATGCATATATATTCGTTGTAAGATGAAATCATCCCCAAAGCAGCTGCTCTTATTCGTTTGTATTTTATGTCTCCTTTAAAACTTCTAAAGATATAGAACAAACCAATAACATGATATATCAATATGAGATTAAAATAGTTGAATTTAAGAGTCGTCTATAAAATACTATTCTTATGTGTTAATTGCAAATAATATGGAATATTTTTCTTATATAATAATACATATATAATATATAGAAACCTAAAATTATATACCAAAGAAAATTTTAAATGTCATATGATGTGAATAATTTATTAAAAAAAAAATTTAATATATAAATATTGCATTTCTTATATCTGTTTACCCTAATCGTAACCACCCCAGTATAATTTTAGGTACTATTTAATAATATTGATTTTTTAACTAACACTATTTACCAAATAATTTCAATAAGTTAAAAATATAGAAAATTAACAGAGAATCATAGGCAATAAGACAATTAAAATTAATTAATAAAGTATATTAAAATCAGAATTAGCCAATACAATCTATTAAAATGATATTGACGATATTCATTAGTTAAAAAACAATGGGTAGATTAAAATAAATATTTTCAGACTAAAAGAATAGTACCTATTACTTGTTTTTTAAATGTGTTATTGTATATTTTATATGTAGACGAAGTAATAAAAAAATAAAAATGAACTGAATCATAGACTATGAACTGTATAGTAAAAATAGCATGGACCATCTATTATGCGGGTAGTGGCAGTATTTTACGAGCTAAAATGTCCAGGTCGTCATTCATGTGTTCACTCACGCCTATGCAAGTGCATTAAATCGTCTAATCATCAATTACAAAAAATTTTTATGTCGGTAAATTTTATTATTACCACCATGTTCTTTACATTTCTTTTAATGTTTCAAAATCGCTATCAACTTTTACACTAAATGGATTAAAATGAATGGAGTAAGACGCATGCTTTAATTTAATAATTTCAAATGCTTAATTCGGTTATATAAGTTTAAATAAATATTCCTTGTTTAATAAGTAATAGAATATTCCTTGTTTTATTTCAAATATTGCTACATATTTTCTACATGTTTTAATAAAATGCCTCATTTTACATTTGCAATAGATTACTATTATAAAGCTTTTATATTAACGTATTCCAATTATTAAACCTTAATAATATTACTAAATATTGATTAGTGTTATTATAATTAATAATAACAAAGGTTTTTTTAATACAAGCTATTGTAAATAAAAGAAATTCTTTCTTATGCAATATTACATATTAAATATCATTTTATATATAAAAATTATATCTACTTATTACCTACTACTCAGCAACTAGAAAATTATTTTGATATATCATAAGAAGAAAATTCCATTAGTTAATATTATTCACAATCATTACATTTACATTAAATAGTTGTAACTAATGTGTTTATTTACTTATCAATCTGAGTCATATTTTTAATTATATTTTAAAATGGATAAAGCACCTTATAATATACTGGAAATATATTCTATTAACTATTACAATAGTTTGATACATAGAGCTAAATATATATTTTATATTGATTTTAATTTATCAAGAAGACAAATAATATAATATTATTTCATCTAACTTTGTTTCAATTACTAATAGAACATTATGTATTGCAAAAAGAACGTAAAATATTATTATTTTAATGCAGTTATATATTTTCAATTAATATGAATTTAATATAAAAGCAATGTGAATCGAATTTAGAATTTAGAATTTGACAAATGGCAGTGTACCCTCTTTTAGTAAATAAGGTAAAGGACAAGTAACTGTTACCGTTTTATTAAAAAGTACAAAGGGAATTATGTTAAATACGTTTATATATTAGATATATATAAACGATAAAGCTTCCCGCTCAATTAATCAGTGGTAATTTATGATTGGACACTAATACACTAGAGAATATGATAAACTGGAATATTAGATTACCTATTACAGTCTATTGCTTCAAATGAAAGATATATATTTATCGTAATGAATAAAATAGTCACAAATTTTTAATCAATCAATTTGAATGTAGGCTTTAGATAACAATGTATAAAATATAAAGAAAATGAAGTGAAAGAGAATTTAAGCTATTTACTTTTGGATTTTATGGTTCTCACTCACGCGAATAACTTTGCAAAGCATATGGACTGCGACAACGTAATGATGTCATGAGTTGTATCCGCTATCCTCCTGCCTGTCGCCCCCTCTTTTTAAAGTATCTCGTACACTAAAATATACGATTCTGAAGTTGCTAGCTTCTTCGGGGAACTCGAACTATTAAAGTTTTTGTATCATTGCTTAGAGATATATATGAATAATAAAATTATACCGCACATAGTGAATCTTTCTAGGACAATACTGCATATATGCGAAATACCACAGAGATAAGATTCATTTAAAAATAGAAAAAATAATTGTTAATACTTTACATATTTGTTATTAGTTTTACTTTTCATTTTAAGTATGAGAGATAGTAACTTAAATTTTACAATAGTAATATTTTCAAGGATTTATAACTTCATGTAATATTAAATATATTATTTATCGATTTAATAAAGACTACATTAAAAAATATTTCAAATATTAATTAATAATTATGTAACTTTAATGAATTTTATAATGATATAAGTTACATTTTTTCTATCATGCCTCCAAATATTTTGAAGGTCTATAATATTCATTATGAATAATACTCATATTTATTAATAATACGCATTGCTTTTCATTCAATAGATTGAGATGAAAAACCTCAATTTTCATAAAATAAATAATAGAATTAGATATTATTTTATTAACAAATAAAATTTGTAAATTTTGTAAATTTTTTAAATTAAAACTATAGTTTTGATAAAGGTATTAAAAAAAAATATTTAAAACTTTGTTGTAATCTTTGTATTGTACAAAATTAATTAACATAAATTGATTATAGGCTCTTATTATGTTTCAAAAAGTAAAAACTTACATTTTTTCTAATCTCGTTTATAGTAATATACAACGTTCATTTCATGAAAACAAAAAATGAAAGAAAAATAATAGGAAGATTCTGCAAAAAAAATAATGAATTCCGTCATGGGAACAAAACACCATAAATTGCACCTTTTCGTCGATAAAAAATGCAAAATACCTCATTTGAGCCTTTAAAATTCCTCATGTGACCGTAAACCAAATGATCGCCTCTAAATGGTCATTAATATTCATAGAGGATTCTACTGCTATTAACAACTCAAACACATACACACTCAAATGAGTATAGATACGAAGGAAAAAAAAATAAAATTATGCATCATGCATCACTCACTTTCTACTGCTCTCAAGGAACCTGTCGAACTCCACCGACATTTTACAGCATAGAGCTCGTCTGCTGTGTGACGACGAGCATTTCGTGTTGATCATATGGCCATCTGAAAAGCAAGTTAAACTGTAAATGAATAGTTGAAATAATTATTAAATAGATAGTAAGCGATTAAAAAACCTATTTGTATTTTACTGTTAATTTCACTGACTTGAAAAAATAATAATTATTTAAATATTTCGCTGAATTTTCTAATTTATATTAATTACAAATCCTTAATGGATATACATAAAAAATTTATTATCTTATTCAATGAATTCTATTGAAAACATAAAAAGTATATTTAAAGTAAAAATAGTCATTATATGTTTTATACTGAAAATATTAAAATCTGAAAATATATATTTTAACAACAATATTGAAGTAATTGGTATTATATTAATAAATATTGGTATAACAGTAAAATAAAATATCAAATAGTGCATAAAATTTTAAACATATGATTCAAATTACGAGTTAAAAATAATTTTTATTATATGTGAATGTTCTTCTTGATTATTAGAAGCAAAACAAGACTTACATGCGTAACAACGTAATGTTTATATTAATATATTAAAAACTATAAAAAGTAATAAAAAATGATACAATTAATACTTACGACAATGGAAAATAATGCTATAGTTCCAACAAGCTTAGCTTAAAATTATATTTTCTGAATCGAAATGAAATTTTAACTTAATATTGAGCAGATTCTAAAATTTGATTTAATCTTTAATTGAATTTTACAAGATATAATATGCCGAATAGCAGATACAATAATTTGAATAAAATACCAAGTTTTTTATAAAACAAGTTAGAATATTTTCTCAGATAGTTAGATCTACAGCTCGTGTACATTTATACCAAACGTCAGATAGTCTAAACTATAATATATTTAAGTAATGTTTTAAACAAGTCTATATTATTTTTATATTTAATATTTAATATATACATATTAGAATTTCATTAATAATTAGAATCTACAAATTTGTAATCTTTCCTATTTTCCCTTCTTCCTGTGCTGTATGTGCTTAATTTATTATCGTAATATCTTTCATTAATTAATTAATGTATGTGTAATTTTAATACTATATAATTTTAATATTATAATATAATAAATAATAGTATAATATAATAAATAGATAATTTCATGGTTTTGAAATCATAAACATAATTACATATATTTACATACATAATTACATAAATTAATTATAATTCAAATGGATTAAATTTTCAGGTTGTATTAATAAATTAATATTAATTCAATGAATTGATCTCGACATTAAATTTTAAAGATGATAAAATTACAGCTTAGAATTATAAAGAAACTTATTATCAAAACTAATTTCATAATTTTTTAATATTTTTTTAATTTTTATCTGAACACCGAAGCTCTAAATCTTATAGTGTTTAATTAATTAGATTTTACATTTGTTTACATGTAATAAAATTTTATTTTCCTCTAAATATTATGAAACTATTTTATTTCATAGGCAATAAGAATATTTGTAGTATGTAGTAATCTATCACTCTAAAATTTGAAATGTAATTCTCAATTGAAACAGATATATATATATGAATACCATCTATAGTTTACAATCCACTAAGAATAACAGTAGGCGAATTATACATAAAGTGGTACGATAGTAAGAGTACTTAGAGAAAAAAAAAAAAAAAAAGATGATAGCGCAGCAAATGGGAATGCAGTGTAAGAGTAAAAAAGATGAACGCGAAACGAGGTAAAAGTATCTTGATATCTGGCCCGTGAACACGTGTTTAGGTCAAATGTCGAATAAAGGCTCGCGTGCGGCCTTGCTTCTTTTAATCCTATTACTTTTTTCATATTAAACCGTATAGCACCTTCTGCCGGACGCCGCTTAATTATATCTCTTTTTTATATATGTAGTATTTCTTACAATCAAACTTCTTCGGTATATTCTTTAAGAAAGATTGCGTTAAGATTTATGTCAGTAAGGCCACCTTTTACATGGAACTTATAGAGTCTCGATCGAAAAATAATACTAGAAATAAAATAAGAATTTTTATTTATACAGTGGCACTTTTTGCCTTCAAGAAAACTGTTACATTCTGGAATCCAGAGATTTATGACTTTGTCTGATGTTTTCATTAGAAATTAAATATTTAAATGTTTTATTATAACTTAGTATTAAAAGAATTCTATTACTTTTTAACTGTCATATAATAAAAATAATTAGTTATTACACGCTTTCATATACACCTTTTATTATTAATATTCGAATTAATTTGATTAAAATGATTCAATACTCTAGCTCAAGGCTAACGCTGAATATTTAAATGAAAATCTTATTTAAACAAATTAATTTTACACATTTATACCTTAGATACATAAAATTTCGAAATTATATTAAAAAATATATCGTAAATGGGTATTGGACCGTTCTACAGTACGTTTCAATGCTTATAATGCTTATCTTCTTTTTTAATAAATAGAGTAGTCATTATATGAGTTTTACTCTAATTCATAATTGAGTGTTAAAAACAAAATTATTAAAAATATTATTATCGACAAAAGTATGTAAAATCAACTGAATGTAAGAAACTTAAATAAATTTTACTAAAATATATTACTTACATGTACAAAAGTTATTAAAATAGGTAAAAATGTTGTTTTGTATAAGAGATAAAAATATATTTTTTATAAATAATTATTTGTATTATTAGCAAAATAAACAACACTTACTTGTTTGGTTATGAAAATACGGGTCATCTCTATCTGTAAAAAACCATGTCTAGAACAGAAAAAATATATCTTATAAATTTATTACGCATTAAATTTTTTTATAAATGTGTACTTATAGGCAAATGCACAGATATTTCATCAATTAATATGTTTGATTTAAAAACAGTTTATTTTATAGAAATTTTCTTTAAATAAATAATCAATATAGACTATATAATATATAATAAATAGAATTATTTTTAGAAAGCTGATTTAGCTGAAAAATGTAGCATAACAATTTTCCAACATCTTTTAAATGGGTAATTTCTCAAAATTTTTAGTGAGAACAAGAAAAATTCAGAGCAACATGTTATATAGGAAAACCAAATTAGTAAAAGCCTCATACAAGCATTTTAATGGTCCTTACTTTTAAAATTAAGATGTTAAATTAAAAAAAAAATTATACTTAAGTATAATGAAAAAAATGAAAAAATCCGAATAGCCAGTGTATAAAATAATATTATATAAATATTTTATAATATAGAATAATAGTATTAATTTAAACTATTATTAAAGTGACTGTGAAAAGAAATATATAACTATATTATCTATCTATCTATATATATAAATATATATTGATCTATATCTATATTTTATATAAAAAAAATTTTATTTATACAGCAATCTATACACATAAATAAAGGATTACTAATATATTTACAGAAGTTTTTGATCTAAAAATTTACTAAAATATTTTCTTTTAACTAAGGAATTAAACTATTTAAACAGATGAACTAACAAGTTGCACATTAGTTTATTAATTAAAAAGTGTAAATAGTTTATAAAGATATATTCGTAGTTTTAAAAAATCTTATTATAATGAATTTTGTATATTATATAATGTATATGTAACAAGTCTAGTACATGATAAACATATATTACTAATTACGACCATATAAAACGTTTATATTATCCAATAACAGCAGGAAAATCATATATTTACGTAATGTTAAAAATTTTATCCTTAAAAAATAGATTTCTTTGATACTTTCGTATTTTATTTTTTTTATTTTTCATCTTCCTCTAGATATTATAATTAAAATGGAATATAAAATTTAACAAATTTTTTAATTATATTTTAAACCACTATTTAAAAGTATAAAATGAAAAATATATAGAAAACATTTGTGTAATTATATAAGAGAAAATAAATATTTTAAATATTCATAGAGCATACAATTCTATTAATATTTTAATATATGACATAAAATTACTTTATAAAAGATATATATTATTCAACATTAATTTAATACTAAAGGTTTTAAAAGTAATAGAAACTATTGCATCAATAAATACAGAATTAAGGAAATAGCAACATACTTATTCTCAAAAGTAGAATGAAATTGCCATTTATCACAACGGTACAGTAAATATTCACTAACATATTTCTATACATAAGATATAAATAGATACACTTGATTGTCAACATTTTTTTTCGAAAACTGGTACAGTGACACAATTTTGGTGAAAGGTTTATAGCACAAAGTAATACTCAAATTATATTGTCGCCAATGCCTAACAATAAAAATAAAATGCTCAACCAAGACACATAAATATTCTGAAAAACGTGTCGACGTTCAGAATTTTCCGCTACGGTAGCGAAAACGCAGTCATGACTAGCGCAAGGCCCATGAAGATAAAAAGTGCTGAAAAGGCGGTAAGCGAAGAGAGATGTATGCATCAGGAAAAAGCGGCAAAGACATAACGATTTGCAAACCATCAGAAGGAATCTTGAAATGTTCGGGGACCATATCGAGTCGATTTGGATTAAATGGATAAAGATGAACGAAATTGAATCGACATTTAAACATTATAAATTTACCTGACAAGTATTTCAGATAAAATTTGTATTTATATAAATTATTCCAATCTATATTATTCTATGATATTATTCTAAATAAATTTAAAAAAGCCAAAACTTAAATATTTTAATGAACAAAATAATCTTTTGCCATTTAATTTATAATATTTAAAAAATCGGTAGATTAATTTATTTCTTAAAAAAAATTTTTAAAAAAAAATTTTAAGGTAAATGTAAATTAAATTATTTTGTACAATATAAAATTGTAATAAAAATATGTTTAATAATAATTTTATTAACAAATAATTATAAAAAAAGGAATAGATTTATAAATACGTAAATAAATTGTCGATAAATAGATAAAAGACAACTAATGAACAAAAAAATTAAAAGAATGTTAACATTAAAATTAGACATTCCATTTAACTACATTCAAGTGTATACATAAAACTTAATAAGAAAACTAGCTAATTAACCAAGTAAATCAACGTTAAATATGAAAAAAATTTTTTGCATCTTTATCATTAGATATATAAATACTAAAACTTTTAATATAATTTATCAAAAACCTAAATCATCAAAATTCATAATGTATTGTAAAGACTTAAATAGAAAAACAGTATATCAATTGACCATAAAATTTCGTTTATTAACAATAATTATATAATATAATCTTATATGGTAAAATTTATTTAATTTAAGTATAATATTATCTTTTTTATTTTATTTTTATTTTAATCCATAAACTGGTTGGAAATACCTTCATAAACTATCATACAACAATATATATATTTCATAATATTCAAATAGTCATTTAACTGTTTAACAATAATTTTTAATCATTGATATTGAAATACTTCGAAAAAATTGCTAAGTTTTTTTGTATTTCGAAATATTATATGAATTTTTTTAATCAAATCCGTTACAATTTATAAAAAATAACGCTATACTTTCCGCTTAAAATAATAAACATATTAGTTTATAAACAAATTTTTATCCACTCACCCATAGAAGCGCATACAATAATATTAATAGAATAAATTATAATTAAATATTAATTAACTGTTAGTTAATATTTTGCACTTTGAAAATAAAATTGCACTTCCCTTCCTTACGAGTACATAAAAATTATTATTTAGAACATTTTAATAATAACAAAAAGTATTACACTACCATCTAAATTATATAAATTAATTAAAATTAATGAAGGGATTGTACTTTTTTCCTTCTGTATATAAAAAGTCTAAAATGTGATGCAATTAAGGAATGCAATAAAGAGAAATCAGTGAAAAAAAAAGTATAGTGAATTGTCGAGGAATGTAATATTTGAGACAAAAAAAATAATTCACAAAGAATATGAGGGATTTCATTTATGATTCGAAGCATACATACATGGATACATACATGCATACATACATAAATACGTGTTTGTATGTGTGTATGTGTGCCTACTTTTACAATGTACAAGTAAAGCACAATGAGAAATACAGAGACATTGATAGCGAAAATAAACGCCGTAAAAAGGCAGCGACAAAAGAGAATGAGTGTAAGAGAGATACAAAAACAGAGACAGAAATGGAATCTGCGAGTTTAGTATAAGCATTCCTTGAAAGAAAGCGAGACCAAAGAAGCGCTAACGAGACATTCGTTGCGAGTAGTGCGATGAAATGAAAAAAAGAATTAGTGTGATGAACATTTGTGCTTACGTGACGTCATGTGTGCGGCGTCGTATTGCAGCATTCACTTAATGACAATTAATGACAGTAATTATAATCATTTAGTCATTTAAACTTTTGAGTAAAATACAATAAAAGCAAATATTTAAAAAATGAATTAAAAAATTATAAATAATATACTGATTTTATTATTATTTACAATTTTACAGAAAATATACGTACACGGAATATTTATATAACAATTTAACATCATATATTATTAAAATGTTTTTATAATTAATGAATTTTAATATTTGCTGAAAATTGTATTAACGAGTTAGAAAATTAAAAACGTATAACGTACACATTTATTTATACTTATATAAATTAAATTTTGCGTTTACAATAAAATATTTAAAAAAGACAAATATTCAAAGTACAATACAAATTTCATTATAATGTTGTTAATATTCTATATTTTTTACAAATAGATAGTGCCATAAATAATTAAATGAAAATATAAATAGTTTTATTTATCTATTTACATTTTTGCTTGTTTCATTCGATTTTTGAATTACTTAAAATGTTATAAACTTAAAGTATTATATATCACTATTATAATAGATAAAGAAATTTGTAATCAAATAATAATTTAGATTGAATTCAAATCATTAATTTCTTAACATTTATATTTTCGTTCTATTTATTTCATTACATAAATTTATGCTAATTTATATTACTAAGAATGATATTAATATATTAATATAAATAGGAATAATATTATCTATATTTACATATTATTTATCAATAACATAACGTATTTAATTTAATGACAAAATTTAATAATATTATTGTAATAAATTCTTTCTAAATTGTATAACCAAGTTAATTAGTTTTGTTTAACTAATTAACTTTTGTAATCTAATTTGTACATTAGCCATGAAATTAAAATATGTCTAGTCAAATCATAAATACAATAATGTTTTGTTTATTTTAAAATATTATTAGTATGTAACAGGTATTTTTAGTACCAAAATGATGGAAAAATATTCTAAAAATTATTTTGTTATAATTAATCATAAAATTGACTTCAAAATATAATGTAAAATTTATAAATAGTATTATATTAATTTTTATGCAAATATTATATTTTAATAACATATTAAAATATACATTATATATGCATCAAAATATAATTTATTACAAAAATTTATGCTTACATCACAAAAATAAACTTATAAAAGAGTACCGTATTAATCTATGTGAAAAGTAAAATTTATTGACTATTATAAATTTAATTTATACACGATATTAACTATTTGATATAATTTTAGTATAAAATATTAGATTACGTATTTAATTTATATAAATTTAAGTATTAACTCTTTTAAATACACGAAGTTTTTTTATTTATTTAAGTATTAGTTGTATGAAGCAAAAAACATTATTAAACATTTTTAAGTAACGTACATTCACGAATAAGGAAATCTTTATAAAAGATAGAAAAAATAAGCTTTTCTATCTAAAAAATCTAATTCTAATTAAAATTTTAAT